ACCTGTATGAAACAAGTTCGTTCAAGTAGTGAGAGCTGTCTTTTGCTGTTTTCACAGGCCGCAGCCGTGGTTCGTTTGTCCAAGCTGCCTGCTTTTAAGGAGCTCCAAGCATACATGAAGTTCAACCGTAAGGTAAGAAGAATAGCTCTTTAGTTAATCGACAAGGGTTCGGATGAAAGTCCGCTAGTATCTTGTTAACTGCAGTAAATCATTACCTTCATTATTACTCAGTGATATATTTCTGTAACATTTTTTTTCAGGATTTCTTTGAGTGGCTGGAGTCGGGTAAACCTGAACGCAATGTGCCGGCTTGCTGGGACTCTGAACTTTCTCTGTGTAAGGAACTCTTTTACCAAACTGACTTTATTTTGAGCCGAACTCGGTGCTACCTTAAAACCTTTTCTTAAAAGAGACACACACACAAATATCTATTTTCTGCTTAAATTATTAGGAAATGTTACGTAGTACTGACGCCGCAGTGGCCTTATTTGTGCAGTTTTGAATTGATTATCCTAAAACCAAAACCACAGTTATCACTCTAGCCAATCACAAAGGACACAGAAAAGACAGTAAACCAATCAAAGCTGATGTAAAGCGCGGGAAAACGTTTGCGAGCGAGTCACGATTGGTTTTGGTTTTACTTCTGATTAGATGAAAAAGTGGCTCGAGGCGGTTTTTTAAGCCAATCGTGTAGTGAAGGAATGCAAGCCGATTACTTTTCGAAACAAGTGAAAACCGCTCTGATAAGATACCCATACTAAACCGCTAAACGTTTAAGAGAAAATGCGTGAACTATCACCTGCATCCTGTGCAAGGATAAAAAATTGTTATTTTCCCTTTCCTTTGTAGCAAACCATGGCCAAGCCGTTCATCAGTTGTTAGTGATCCAAGCGTTACGTCCTGACCGAATGTTGGCCATGAGTCACAAAGTTGTGCAAACAATCCTCGGCGAGAACTTCATGCACGATGCAGAGCAAGGACTGGACCTAGCATCTGTTGTTGAAAATGAGGTTTGTCGCACGCGAAAATGCTGCTTAAAAGCATTCATTTGAATGGTCATACATCAGTGTTTCATCCAAATGAAAGTACTGCTCAATACCTTTCATTTAAATGGTCACTCAAAAGAGTTTTGTCCACAAACTAAAAAGTTGGACTCGCGTTGAGTTTACAGCTTAAGGAAAGAGGCTCGCTTCGGCGACTCCAGAGTTAACTAGGTTTTGAAAGTCTTGCAGTGTTGCTTAAGAATTCGTATACTTTGGCTGGTTGTTTGTTAGGGAAGATGCGGTGTTAACAGTATTGTTCTTGACTTCAACAGGTCAAGGCCTCTACGCCACTGTTGCTGTGTTCCGTGACAGGCTATGATGCAAGCGGATGGGTGGATGATCTTGCTGCAGAACAGAACAAACAGTGCACTTCCATTGCCATCGGTAAGTTACCATCCCATTAGACTGCGAAAAGTGCCCCTTTCGCTTAATACGTCGAGCGAGACCGTAAACAAACCCGCACGAGGGCGATAAGCAACCCCAGGATTTCGTGGTTTCGAGGAGGTTTCGGAGAGGTTTATTTATGGTCACGCTCGACGGACTAAGCGAAAGAGGGACTACTCGTAGTCTATCATCCCATAAATACCCTTGTTTTTAGAGGTTTTCTCTTTTCTAAAGAAGAAAGAAAACCTGTAGCACAAGGGTACCCCATAGACGTTTGTCCTTGATTCCTTAATTAACAGAGAGTTTGTACCGCGTTTTAAATTGATCTTGGTGTTTACTATTCGTTGTCCGATCGTCAGGGTCTGCTGAGGGTTTCAGTCTTGCTGACAAAGCCATCAACTCTGCTACCAAGTCTGGAAGGTTGGTGTTCGTTTACTGTTTTTTAATATTTCAAAGTGCTTCTGCTATCTGTTTTAAGCATGAATGCGAAAACCTCCCAAGTAATTTTAGTCTAAGAAACTTGAGCAATACTCGCCAAATGACCAGACATCCAACCTAACGCCTTTGCTTTTTCTTTTCCGTCTTCACTTCAGGTGGGTTCTGCTAAAGAACGTTCATCTGGCTCCTCAATGGTTGGTAACTCTGGAGAAGAAACTGCACTCCTTGAACCCACACGCCAGCTTTAGGCTGTTCATGACCATGGAGATTAATCCAAAGGTAAAGTAGCTTCTAATGACGTTGTTTGATACGCAATACTGGCAAACTGTGATTGCAAGACGAGCATAGCCTAAATAGCAAACTTTCCAGAGCGAGACCAAAAACATCGACGAAGCAGGGGGTGCCCCACCACCCCCTGCTTCGTAGGTTTCTTTGCTCTCGCTCCAATCTCCGCGCAGAATGCGGAAAAAGGTCTTGAGAATAAGAGACTAAAATCTTCTAGTGTGGATAACCGTTATAGATTAACGTCGCTAACGTATCATTTTGTCTTTTGTGATATCAGGTTCCAGTGAATTTACTGAGGGCTTCCCGAGTGTTTGTGTTCGAGCCTCCTCCGGGTGTGAAGGCTAATCTGTTGCGAACCTTCAGCGCCGTACCTGCAGCAAGGATGTGTAAGGTCAGTAAAAACCTCAAAATCACTTCCTGAGAATAAAGATGGTTTACGATTATAAGTGAGCCTGAGCCTGCAGTATTCAGCAGAGGTTGCTAAGCAACGTAAATTATTCCGTTAGCCGCCCTGTGGCAGTTTTTGTTTTGTTCGTGTTAGTTTGTGAATGGGCAAAAGCAATCAGAAAGTTTCGGTACTTTCACGAAGATCAACCGAAAACGACATATGTCTTACCGATTAAAAGCATTTCATACTCACTCGATCGTGTTTGATCTAACACTGGAAGCTTTGGTCGTGTTCTATTGGGATCGACCGTTTCTGGTCGGTTGGGGTTTTTTGGTTCCATTGAGGAAAAACCGTTTTCGGTTGGTTTGGTTGTACAATTTTTTCAACCAGCCTCAAACCAGCTTTAAACGGTTAAAAAAGCATTGGCAGCGGTTTACCACGTTTCAACTGAAAACGGCTGGAAAATTGTGCTGTTGAGAAACGTCAGGCGTATCAACTCAAACCAGTTGCGGTTGAAACGGTTGATCCCAGTAGAACACGACCTTAGAAGCGGTGATTTGCGCCTGTGGTGTCGTCATGATCATGATCCTCCTCATCATGATTTCCTACAGAAATCCACATTACTCCATGTTCATGTTACTCTCGACTGTGGTGTTGTGTTCGACTTAACTTGTTAACGTCTTATATCTGACTCTCCCCAGGCTCCCAGTGAGAGAGCTCGTCTGTATTTCCTGTTAGCGTGGTTCCATGCCATTGTTCAAGAGCGTCTGCGTTATGTTCCTCTTGGATGGTCCAAGCGTTACGAGTTCAGTGAGTCAGATTTGCGAGTCGCCTGTGACACACTTGACACCTGGCTGGATTCTGTCGCTCAGGTGTGTGATAATTAAGTGGTGTAGCGGCACGCGAACGTCACGCTCTTGTTTTCTTTCTTACCGACTGTCATGCTAAGGGGACTAATCCAAAATTGTCTTTTTTTTCCCTTTCGTTTCTAGGGCCGTACCAATCTGCCTCCTAACAAAGTTCCATGGGACGCCATACAAACACTGTTGTCCCAGGCCATCTATGGTGGACGTATTGACAACGATTTTGATCAGGTTTACATCTTTTCTGCTGGCTAGAATAAAGTACAGAATTTTTCGCAGCCTTTATCTGTACCGTCACCTAACACCACCTCTCTGTTGCTGCTGAGTAGCGTTGTGTGAAAATGCGTTTAATGGCAGCGAAGTCCAGGATTTTTTATTGTGACAAAAGAGATTTGTCTCTAACGTATTTGATTTCTTTCAGCGCCTCATGACTTCCTTTGTGAATCGCCTCTTCACTGTTAGTAGTTTTGAGTCAGACTTTCCGTTGGTTCTTGATGTAGATGGAGAAATGGGCAAAAAGATCGTCATGCCAGAAGGAATCAGGTACGAAAAGCCCCCATAAAAGAACAGGAACTTTGAAAATAGAAAACTCGAAAACTTTAGGCTCAGACACTTTAATGCTTGTTGCAAAGTTTCGCCCTGAGTTATCGCTTGTACGATTCAAGCCAAGTAATAATCCTTTTCTCTCTCCAAACCCTTACCTCAGGCGAGAACAATTTCTGCAGTGGACTGAAGCTCTTCCTGATGCCCAGTCTCCCTCATGGCTCGGCCTGCCCAATAATGCAGAGAAAGTACTGCTCACCACGCAAGGTTAGTGGACCCAGTCTCCCACTGTCGTGCGCATGGTCAAACGTCCAAAGCTAATCCCTCCAAGCACGTTATCCGCACATTATTAAGTAGTTGAAACTTGAATAGATTTTTTAGAAAACATCTCTCCTTGATTGTAAACAGCTCACCACTCGTAGAGAGAGGTTACATGAAACCCGGTCCTCATTTACCGTGGCGTTTCTCGCCAAGCAAACAAAGGTGGCTTTTGTGAAGACATTGTCGCACATTGTTTTCTTTAGGAAATTTCTTAAGCGTTGTTTGCAGCATTGTTAATCTGCTAACTTGTTAATCTCGGCATTATTTTCATCACGGCATACTTTCCTGCTTAGACATTGTTCATTATGACATTGTGTTTATAACACGGTGTTGTTTACATAGCTCTTTACTTCTTGGCGTTATTTACGTGACTGTTCGTGTCATTGCATTGTTTACGTCGATTACTCACGACCTCGTTTGCATGCAGGACAAGACATGGTTACTAAGCTACTTAAGATGCAGATGTTGAGTGATGACGATGAGCTGGCCTACTCCCCAGACTCCGCTAGGTAAGTTTTAACATTAATTCCTAAATAGGACTGGAGACAGTACTTGACTTAGGCATTGCGTTTCAGAGAGTTTTACGTGTTATTCTTCTTTGTTTTTGTTTTTAATTTAAATTGTCTTTTCATGTACGCTTCTGTCTTTCTGTCAATGTTTTTCGTTACTTTTGGCTGGTAAAACAAACGAAAGAAAAGAAAAATAAGAGAAAACGTAGCCAGGAGATTCTAATTTTTGTGCTGACCAAAAGGATCGCAGGCTCTGTGGACGAGAATGGTATGTTGTGCAGTGTGATCCTTTGAGGCCCCGTCCATACTACACGGGAGGAATTTGAAAACGCAGCTTTATTTCTCCGGTTAGACCTACCGTCCACACTAATCCGTCAANAGCTTTTACGAAAGCGATGGCGTCACGATAATCATGTGATTACCCTGCCCGAGTTTTCCTCAAACACAAATCCAAAATGACCGGTGATTGTTGCGTTTTTAAATTCCTCCGGCGTAGTGTTGACGAGCCCTAACTTACAAGGCTGATCGACTTCAAGACTTTTCCGACAATATTTGTACGTTCTCAGTTGAAAACTGATGGGATTTAAGCAGAAAAAAAACTTATTGACTGAGGTATAGGTTGATGTTTTTCGGTCTGACTGACAGTATAAAAAAGTTGCATGGTGACTACTAATAAGAATTAATATGTTAAACTTGGAAATTAACCTGGAAAAATTACTCGTTGTCGTCTAACACGGATATTAGTATTTAATTTACCACAGTAGCAATGAAAGTGTCCTTGTGATAATTATGTTTGAAAAAAATTAAAATCTGTCCTGATTTTGTCTAAACTGAATTAACTATGAGATTATTTTTTTGAACTACATGTATTTTCTTTTAAAATATTAACGCTATATTTTGATAATTTTGATGTAAGTATATAACTGTAGTATTTGAAAACGTTATTTTTAAAAGTGCTTTGATTTTTAAAATGTTTAATTTCTCTCTCTTTTGTTGTCCTTGAAATCTTTTGATAACTTTATCACTTCTCATTTTTTACAACCATTCGTTCAGGCTTAATATTAATCGCTCTTTGCTAGTTTGGTGGCTAACTTTCTTACTTGCATCTATATTGCCTTAATATGCTGCAAACCCGTTGCTAATTAATGAGTCTTCATTCGCGCATGCGGTTTATTGCATATACCAGCTTTGACCTCGGCTCCTCTCCAAACTTTCCGGTTCGTTTTCATTCTTTTTAAACCTCATTATATGGCAAACGGGTTTGGCATACTTCGTTGTGGGTGCTTGGGGAAATAATGTTTATTTTAACTTCTGAAATCTCATGTGATCACCCTTTTCGGCTCGGCTAATATCTCAGCGATAAGATAACTGAATCTTTTTCTCTAACATTACTCTTCGAGCTTGCTTCTTGTGGGAATCTTCAACTGTTAATCGTGGTGAATCGGTACTTCTTCTGCGGTGGAAAACGTTAACAATCTCGCTTCCTGGCTTTTTAACATCCTACAACAAATCCATGAAACTGGCGACTTCTTTTCTTTGATGTAAAAGGTTGTATTCGGTTAAGAGAAAAAAAGACTGCCTTCAAAACGTTTCTTTCAAACCAAGCTCAGATTTCGATAGAAATTCTTTCGTTATCGGACTGAGTAGATTACACTGACATAACGGAACGAATCAGTCAAACAACACGACGGTCGACCTATTCTTTAATCCCAGTTACATCTCTCAAAGGTTTTTTACCTTCACTGCTATTTTGGCCCTGGCCACTCCTTCAGGTTGGTAGCATTCCGCATGAGTGAGTAATAATCAGGAATTGTGTTTTCTGAACTTTGACAAATACTATCAGTAAAATGCTTACTTTCGTTATTGGCAATGGTTTTTGCAATGGTTACGTTTCCCATATTTGAAACAACTCCGCTATATTGGAAAAATTTATTGTACACTAAGGTATTTCTGTGTTTTAAAATGAAAACAGCTCATTCTGATCAAGATCATTTAAGAAATTTCTTAGCTTAAGCGATTCAAACCGAATACAACCTTTTCATACATCTCCTTCTTGGTTCCATTCTCGAAGTTCTGTGACTTCCTGTAAACTCCAGCCTTCATGCATGTTGAACATTTCATTTAAAGCTTAGGCCAGCCTCTTGAAGTCGAGTTTCCACCAATCATGCATGGGATTCACGATGAGTAAGTAATGGCTTTTAAAAAATAAAACTGATAGTACGAAGGCTGTAATTGGTTAAAAAAAACGATGTTGGAATAAAGGTATTTTAGAGTGAACCTTTCCAATCATGCATGGGATTCATGATAAGTAAGTAATGGCTTTTATAAAATAAAACTTAGAGTACGCAGGTGTAATTGGACTATAAACCATGTTGATTAAAGGTATTTAAAGGTAAGCCCTTCCTAAAAGCCTATTGCCCGGATATGTACAGTTCGTTAAAACTTAAAGTGTTGTAAATGTTGCGTTTAAAGTGAAGTACTAAACACGAGTGCAGTAAGAGATTGTAAGTATGGCACGTGATTCTTGTGCGTTTAAGGTGCACTTCGACTCATATCATCCATGCAAGCAAGTATGGCACGTGCCGCTCGCTCGTGCACATAAGTGTGACAAGATGAAAGTATGCACACGTGCGTTTAAACTTCTGCAATACATTCGTTTCACCTCAAACTCTCATGCACGCCATGCTTTTGTTTCTTGTTTAGCCTTCAGTTTGTTGTTGAGCGTTTTGTTGTTACTATAGTTTTTCTTAGATATATCTTGAAATGAAATTTAACTCATAAAGTGAATTTCTTTAGCAAGCGAGTCCATCCACTCCAGTGATATTTTATGTTAACTCTTTTGATTAATTACGCGTGATTCTACACCGTGTAAGACATACAACGGATCTGCTAGAATGATAGATCGGTTTGCCTGCCATAGTGTAGCAATCCCCAAAACAGCTAACTTGGTTGTTCGATTTTTAATGAAAATGAAAAAATAAAGGGCCTAGTGCTAAATCTATCTGTACACTAAAAAAACTGTTTAAAACAATCCGCAAACATTTTGTACCTTAAACGGCTTTGATAGGATTTAAATGTAAATCATCTGAGTGACTGTCACGCTAGGCGACGCTAACTTAGTTAGAGCTACAGGCTCGTCCCAGACTCGAATGAAAGCTGTGATAAACGTTTCAATTAAAACAGCAGGGACAAATACTCAAAATACTTAAAAGCCATTCGGTTCTGTTTCTGACCATTTCAGAATACCCTTAACCATCAAGTTCAAGTCAGCCGTTTGCAAGAAAATACGGTCTAAAATACTCGTAGTTTGTCATGGATAGATTTATCATTGATTAATTCGTTTCCAAGTTTAGAGTTCGTAATTGTGGACGGCTGCCTGAATCGAAAATCACTTTAAACAATGTGCCACATTTTCATATTTCTTGTGTTCTGACTTTGCTATACAACACTTGCATGTATTAGGCAAAAAAGACGAGAGAGTGATCCCCGCCCAGCTTGGATGAGGACCTTACATACCACAGCTACTAACTGGCTCAGTATGATACCCAAAGTAAGGTCTAGTTCGATAGTAGAGCCATGTATTGCTTTTTTGATCCCTAATGTATCCATGTCTTGAAAGTCATCTCTCCTTTAGCCCAAGCTCCGCACTTATTGCCATATAATTTTCTTTTTTTCTTTTTTTTTTTTTTGGAGGGGCACTCAATGGAGTGTGCTACTCTGAGTAATTCTCTGGTCGTTGGCGTTGAAAGTCGGGAAAATTATTTGTGAGATTTGGCTAAAAATACAGAAAGTGTTATAAGCTAGTCACTCCTAAACTGGCTGGTCTACTAAATCAATTAGACTACTCGACATCGTTTCCCGTGAGCGATAGTCACTTCGGATAGGCCTCGCTGACTATTCAGTCGTAGAAAACTTGGGCTCCTAGCATAGTTGTTAGTACTATTGTTTTTCTTGTACTTGTCTTGATGTATGCCTTTTTTAAATGTAGGACTTGACTCCATTGAAGCGTACCTTGGACAACATCAAGGATCCACTTTTCCGCTACTTTGAACGCGAGGTAAATAGTAAATGACAGAAGTGATTAAGACTTAATTTCTCCTTACAATATCAATATAATGGCAAGCAAACAGGTGTGGAGAATGAAGAAAATCATCAACAAGGGATTTCGATTTAATATACCAGACTGAACTAGCAACCAGGAAGGAGATTTAATGTTTGGAACGCTAAACTACTCTGTGCGCTGTTGGTTCATTCAGGGCGCTTGTCTCGTTTATTTTAATTGTCCAAATGCTGCTAAATTTATGGATTTTGATTTCATACAGTCGTTTGGAAGCTACTCTTTGATGAAGTGATGTTGACTGATTTGGGGTTTGCTATTATAGGTTAACACTGGATACCAGCTATTGAACACCATCCGAGAGGACCTCAATCACATAGTGCTCGTATGTGAGAGCCAAAAGAAGCCCACCAACTATCTTCGAAATCTCATGAGCGACTTGGTTAAGGGTAAGAACAGTGTAATTACCTTATTTAGTTCGCAGACTTAAGGTTAGTAACTACGAGAGAGAGAGCTGTCTGTGACTTTGCGATATGGTAGCTCATCAGCCTATTCAAGTGTTAAAGTGTATCAGCTTGAACAAGCCCAGAAACTTTTGTCTGTGGGTAAAATTTTAATGCTCGGATTGCATTTCAGCTCGTGAAGTTCTATCTAGTTTTCCTGGCTGTCGCTATGCGGAAGTCGTCTTCCAATGCGACTTATGTGAGTTTGTCCTCTAGACTGAACAGGATTTTCTCGAGGTGGATTCCACGCCCGCGGTTGAAACGTATAATATGGCGTGATCGTGAGCCTTTTAAAGGCTCGCAAGACCGCGGTGTTCTTTATTAGAGACTTTTTAGACAAATGCTACGGTGGCCTCAACTAAACTGTTCGCTTTGATTTCAGAAATTTAATTTCAGGAGCTCAACTCTCCAGTAGTAGTATCATCGATATGTAGAGAGGATTTCTTTTTGTTATTCTTTTCTAAATTTCAAACTTCGGAGCAGAAATTTACAATAGCAGCTTCCAGAAACTTCACCTCTGTGATCAAAAACGTTCCCAATGCGTATTACAAAAGCTAACATTTGACCTTATTTAGAGTTAACTGTTAATTTACGATTAGAATTGTAATAGAAATGTTAAATGCACTATACCCAGGAAGAAAACAAAACAAGTTTTCATTTTTAGTGCAACGATCGCAGCTAGACCTAGTAATGTTAAACGATACACGTGCCTGCAACATTGACTAATACTGTGATTTCATGAGCTTTATCTACTGGTCGGCGGAATTACTCTAAAAAGTTTACAAATGAAGGAAGGACATCATTTGCATATCATTTGCATAATCTGCACCACCACTAAAACCCTTTAGACTGCTTACGCAATCTCCGAGTGAAGAAGAGAAGTTAGTTACTGAGGGATGGTCGTAGTCCAAAGGAATAGTTAACTAGTAATTTTGTACGTTTAATTTTTATCTTAGGATGTGAGAGTGAGGACATATGAGAGTGAAGACCTCGGGAAATAAATAGGCCATTTACGAGTTGCCTTTTGCCTCTGTGTCAAAACGAGTCTACGCGCGAAACCATTGTTATGAAACTTTATTTCATCTGTAAGTTCATTTTCATGCAAATCAAACTCATTTTTATAAGAAAGGTTTTGCAGGAAGACTCGTTTTAAAACAGAGGCACAAGGAACCAGGAATTGGCCCATTGCTTCAGTAATGTCCTGATATACCATCAAACTGTCAGGCTGTAATGGTGTGGGACTTACCTACGCGTTAAAAATTGTTACTCAGGACATTAGACATGTTGTTAGAGGTTTGAGCGCGCTTTCTTGGTTTCAGGTATCTTGCCGTCAAACTGGCGGCGTTACACCGTGCCAAAAGGCTTAACTGTTCTTCAGTGGGTTGCAGACTTCAGTGATCGTGTTAAACAGCTGCAGAAGATATCACATGCCGCTAATACTGGTGGAGCCAAGGGTCTTAAGGTTTGTGATTTCGTCCTCGAAATAGCCTGCAAATAACGAGGGCGTGTTCGAAAATAATCTTGTTTTTATTTCTTGTCTCAGAATCTGCATATCTGGTTGGGTGGCATGTTCGTTCCTGAAGCGTACATCACAGCCACTCGACAATTCGTCGCTCAGGCAAACAACTGGTCTCTTGAAGAACTGGCTCTAGAGGTAATTATTTTGTTATGAACGCCAGCTAACAACCAGGAATTGAACTAAAGAACATCTGTTGGGTAGAATGATACTATCAAGGTTGCATGGTGGTTTGAATGTTATTCTGCAATACTTTTGTTTGCAAAGTGAGTAACGCTTGCTCTCCGTAGTCAATCTTGAGAAACGTATGTTGGTGCACGAGACCACGAGGAGTTAATGAAGCGATTTGACTCCAAAGAAGTTACTGTGTTGACACATCAGGCAAGTTAAGCAGTAAGGTGATTAACAAGTTGACGTTAGAGAAGTAACTGGGTAACCGACGCAGCAAAATAATAATAATTATTATTTTCCATCTGTGCGAAATGTAGTATACTGAACACCGTTTTAATCTTTGTAGGTAACCATCGCTAGTGGTCCAGATGATCGACTGACTATTGATGACTGTAGCTTTGGAATAAAAGGTACAAGTTAAAATGTTTGTCCTTGGAAGCTAATGACTTCAGTTTTATATAGACGTTTGTCTATAAGAACTAACTGCTGAACATGCGAGGAATTTTGTTAATAATAATTAATAATTTATTTCTAGCGCATTACATCAAAAAATCTCAATGCTCTTACAGAATAAATATGAGAAAAACGATAACGAAACCAATATAAGGAAAATATGGTGGCTTGAACATTATTCTGCAATACTTTTGTTTGCAAAGTGAGTAACGCTTGCTCTCCGTAGTCAATCTTGAAAAACGTATGTTGGTGCACAAGACCACGAGGAGTTAACGAAGCGATTTGACTCCAAAGAAGTTACTGTGTTGACACATCAGGCAAGTTAAGCAGTAAGGTAAATGTTAGATAAATGTCTGCCTGTAAAGCGTTTCAGCTTTACAGCAAAGGGTTAGTTCGCTGAGTATGCTTTAGGTTAGAGTGGCAGAAATGAGAAAATTAATATGTACTGTTTACTTTTGGCGTTTTCCTTTGTTTTGCGTAGGTTTGAGGCTTCAGGGAGCCCGTTGCCAAGACAACAAGTTAGAACTGACAGCAACAATTTCAACAGACCTCGCGCTGACCAGCCTTAAGTGGATCAGGTATGGTTTGAGTAATCACCTTCATAACTATTAGAGCATTGAAATAAAACATCCCCAGGTTCTTCACATGTTGAAAAGTTAAAGGTTTTAGACTTAACTCAACTGTTTTGTATTTTTTTCAGAGTTGAAGTAGGATCTGCTGATCTTCAGGAGGGGAAGGTATGTGTTCACGAGCTTTCTCTTTCTTGTTATGGCGATAGTTTTCAGTGAAAGAAGTCTGCTTACGAGCAAAGTGGCTTACCAGGCCGGAACTTAGCCCGGTTTCCGTACTCTCCCCTGGATGGGATGCTAGTCCATCGCAGGGTTACCCCCAGCATGAAATTCGTCGGTACCTTTTTGTACACCTGGGTGATAAGAGGCACTCTTAGAGTAACGTTCTTGCCCAGGAACACAACACGATGACCCCGACCAGGACTCGAACCCAGACCGCTCGATCTGGAGTCTAGCGCACTAACCATGAGGCCACCGCGTCTCCACTCTCGGTGAAAGAGGCGTCAGTTCAATCGTTTTTCAGCCAAAGTTGTTCAACTCTCTGGAACCTCTCAGTACTTTCATTCACCCATCCTAAACACTACCTTCGTTTTGTAAAGCAAGAGGTTTTGTGCGACCTGTTATCCATTCGCCCACTTTACAAACGAGAAAAAAATCTGGGGCAAGTTTCATGTCGCAGTTGCTTGTGGGACCGTTATGTTGGACAAGCAAAAGATGAGAAGTTGTGCCTGTTAAGATCCCACAAGCAACTGCGGAATGACACTCTTCCCAGATCCCTCTCGTTTCTGATGTGGCGAATTGTTTGAAGAACCAACGACTCCCCTCAACTCTCTCGCCCGTGACATTTTCTCTTTGCCATATCTCAAGGATAAATGGAAAGAAATTCTAACATCTGATCAAAATCATTTTTTCCTTCATTCCAGGTTACTCTTCCCGTGTATCTCAACCAGACACGTACCGAGCTCCTATTCACTCTTAACATGGCAACCAGAGGTGAAGCCGCTGGTCGAGAACACCGCTTTTATGAGCGAGGTGTGGCCTTCCTGGCGTCCTCTTTGAGTGGCTGATATCACGTGATTAACACGTGATTTGGCTCCGTTTTCCTTCCCCGATTTCAAATGAAGCAGATTAGGTTGTTCTAGAATTAATCACAAGTGTTACAAACTGGTGTCATACTTAGTTAGTGGACCTCAATCGAATTTAATCTGGTACGCAACAACTTATCGTCAGAAGTATTGTCAAACGTTATCTGTCCGTAGTTGGACAATAAACGAATCTTGGCAAAGGTCTGTTAGTTACCTACAATAAGGCATTCTTAGAAACATTAGGTTATGTTGTAATACCGCAACTTTAGGTCTTAATCGTCTTAATGTTATTGTTAACAGTAGAAAGCTGAAACCATTTAGCAAGATAATAAATATGGGGCTAATATGGTGAAATTAGTTCGTGTTGTGTTATTCTTGCAACTTATATTAACTCTGAAAAGGCCCAAATCAATATGCGGTGTTTCTAACTTCTGTTTTTAAAAGCCAACGAGCGGAAACGGATTTCCGCCAGCTGTTCCACGGGGAGAAAATACCCGATATTTTCCACTGGCGTGAAACAACACGCGGAGAAGAATTCCGGCAGAAGCGACAAAATCGAAAAAAAAAAAAAAAAAAAAGACGATACGGGGATTCATTGGTGTGAAAATCCAAAATGAAGACGCGCAGGGTCTGGTAATAAAAGATCCCAGGGACCCGTTTCTCGAAAGCCCCGGAAACTTTTCGGGCCCGGAAAGCCATAGCAAAATCCCGAACCTTACGATTGCAGAGCTTTTTTATTCACATATTCCTAATATGAACAGAGGTTCCCTTCATACAAGCAGTTTCAGGCGTATACGCGTCTCCGTTTTTAGATGCGGATGAACTAAAAATGGCTTTACGGGCCCTTAAAGTTTCCGTGGCTTTCGAGAAAGGGCCCAGGTCATTATGTCGTCCCGTTTCCCTGCCCCTCCCGACCAAAATTAGCCTGCGCGCAGATTAGTTCACGTCATTGCGCAGGCGTAGGTTATCGTTTTCCTTTAGTGAGGGGGGGGGGGGGGG